CCCCCCAACACTCACTGTCCACAGTCGCGTCCAGTATAGCCGGTAGGACATCTGTCACAGGTAGGTCTGTTGTCATCATCCAGGTAGCAGGATGGAGAGAACCTGAAAAAAAACCCAGAAAAAAGTCACAAACATGTTACTAAGTTTGAGTAAGAGTTTTACGGCACTTACAACACAAAAAGGTCATACTAGTGCAGACGATTAGGGATGTTACAAGAGAGTAACAAACATAAAAAAAGAAGTAGGAGAGATCAGGACGATAGATTTTTTATAAGAAAGAAGGAGAAAACCACACCAGAGCACCCGCCAACTACCCACACAAACATATTACTACACTACATACTATCATCAACCAACTGTTCACAAGTACTAAATGTAACTCATTCAGAACATAAGTTTTTCGAAGTGGCTAGCCGTACTTAGATCTAGGTTTGGCCCAATCGACTCAAGCCTGTTAAGTACACAGGTCTCATTAGATCTAGATCTAGTAATTATTCAGGTTCAAATACATGCAAGTCAGTAAGACACCTTTGGTTTTGTCTGAAATACAAATACTTTAGGCATTGCAAACTAAAAATTTCATTTACAATTCAGCCATCAATATTAAGTACGGCTAGCCTGACAGTCTAGCCGTCCTTAAGTACGGCTAGCCTGGCTGTCTACCCGTACTTAAGTACGGCAAGACTGCCAGTCTAGCTGTACTTATCTTAGGCCCTATTAACATTAGAAAACAGGAGGTTTAAAATACATGCACTGTCATTAAGGCACCTGGTTTTGTCTCAAATACAAATACTTTAGGTACTGCACACTAAAAATGTATATATTTACAATTTAGTAAGCCTATTTGTAGTAAATGGTCAGTCTAGCCATCATATTAAGAATAAGTACGGCTAGCCTTTTCCTAAGTTTTTTCAACAGCTTAAAACCATTTGGACTTATTTAACTTGTGACTCCATGAATAATTTTGAGGGTATGGAAAATAAACAACTTTTACAAGTTGGTGTAGTAAACTTTGTAGTGGTAGGTTTTGTAGTGGTAGGTAGTTACGTAAGTTATATGGTCCCCTTTAAGCACAAGGGGGCTATCCCGAAAAATGCAGTTTTGAGTAACTTGAAGGTAGAGTTTTTTGCCCCTTGTTCAGTTCCTTTAAAACACAAGGAGAGTTTTCTCCACAGCCAAACAAAAAATATACACACCAATGAAACAATAACTTCTCCTATAGGTAGGGCAATGCCCACTTTTGGTGTAGGTCAAGATTTCTGGAAACCCCCAAGATCTGGGTTAGCCCATTTGTCCTTAAAAGCGACCACATAATATTGGAAAGGTAAATGAATGCTGATGTTCACTGATGGTATAACAACAATAGAATGTAAATAAAGAAACAAACTATGGATGCTATTCAAATTGCCAATATAACGGCGATACGTCCAAATATTTTCCTCCGAAGTTACCGATATATTTACGAAACGTACAAATATTTTCCCCGGAAGTTACTGATATATAAGCCATACGTCTAAATGATCGCTTTTAAGCACAAGGGGGCTATCCCGAAAAATGCAGTTTTGAGTAACTTGAAGGTAGAGTTTTTTGCCCCTTGTTCAGTTCCTTTAAAACACAAGGAGAGTTTTCTCCACAGCCAAACAAATATACACACCAATGAAACAATAACTTCTCCTATAGGTAGGGCAATGCCCACTTTTGGTGTAGGTCAAGATTTCTGGATACCCCCGAAATCTGGGTTAGCCTACTTGTCCTTAAAAGCGACCAAATGTGAAGCTACTGATTTATCTGGGATACATCTGAGAAGAGTTACTGTTTTCCCTGAAGCACTCACATGTTGGAAAGTTAATTGAGTGTTGGTGTTCACTGATGTTACAAAAGCAATAGAATGAAAGTAATGAAACAAACTTTAGGGACTGTTCAAATTGTGGATAAATCGGCAATATGTCTGAATTAATGTGTTCCCCGGAAGTTATCATGCGAGCAGAGTTTTTATCCCCGAAGCACTCACATGTTGGATGGGATGGTGAGAGGACAGGGGCAGGGTCTGCAGTCATTGGGGGTTCCAGAGGTGGGGTCGCCGTAGAAACCACGGATGCACCTCTCACAACGCTCTCCCTCAGTGTTGTGTTGGCAGTTCTGGTGAGATAAGATAATAAAACCACAGTCAATTAAAATTGCTACACATTCACCCCTTTCAGTGCTGGGGCTTTTCCATCTATGTTTGTACCCCCCAAAAAAGAGATTTAACCCTACCCATAGGTCCTGAGGTCATTTTGTACCCCCGGGGTTGTATTCTTCACATTTTAGAATACTTCTGGTTCGAAGATCTCTTTGAAACTTTCAGTATTTCATATGGATCTGATTAAAGAGTAATTGCGTCTTTGGAAAGTGGTGGCACAGAGTTCCCCACACTGTATGGATATGATAGTAAAACATGATGTACGGATAGGGTTAAACAGAGCAATTCATAATAATTTTCCCTTATTAAGAATAAGCAATTGCATACATTGCATAAGTGGTGAGGCCTATCCATCTACATCTGTACAAAAAAAGGAGATCTAAAAAAAGCAATTTATAATAATTTAGCCTAAATAAGAACAAACAACAGCATAAATTGCAATTACATTTTCTAAAATACCCTCTATAAACCAGTAGAAAAATGGCAGTGAACTGATTTTGAAGAAGACAATGTGAGGCAGCGTGATGGAATCAGGCTCTCGTCAAAATAATCAAAGTGACAAAACTTGCATTTTTCGGCAGGTTTGTGAATTTTTAAAAACTTTTTGTTTTTTCGCTCAACACCTTTCATGCCCATTAAATAACTCATTTCTGTGTGGATTTTTATAAAATAAAACCGTTGATTAAAGACACAAAAAATAAAAATTTACAGTTTCCATGGACTCTCCAGCTTTGAAATCTACCAAGCTTTGGTGGCCATTTTTTCACTAATTTTACCTCTTAAACCACCTCCTTCAATCCAAGATATCTCCACTTCTATTTGAAGATGAATGGGTAATATTTTCATTGAAAACAAGACAAATGAACAAGCTTTAAGATGATACCAATAACTCAATATGCCCAAAAACTGATGAGAGCCTGATTCCACCACGCTATTATATAGGCCTACATGTACAACTGCCGAGCAGTGAAGATGTAAAGTTGTATGACAACAGCCTGAGACTGCAAACAATGGAAAGTCATTACATTGTTACAAAGTTATATTATTATCTCATTATCATTATTACATGTCAACCTCGGAGCCAGAAACAACACCTTCATAAGTCTTGAAGAAGAAGTTGTTTTTTCAGGCTCTTCACCCCCAATTCATTCAGTCCTAGTGAAGATGTGTATTAAATATGGAGATCCCGACTCTTAAATAATCTCTCAATGTTGAAAGTAACGTTAACACTTTCCACCTACGTAGCACGCAGAGTGCGCAACACTTCTCCCCACGGACCTAGATACAGGTGCAGTACACGCTATATCACATCGGCGCCGATCGGCGTCCCGTGGGGAAAAGGGATGGCTTCTTACCGTCACCGAATCTCATTCCGTGGGGGCAAAGTGTTTAACTTATACAATTTTGCGATTAATAATGTTTCTTTTTTCAAACTAAAAATAATCTCCTGAAACGTGAACATTAAAAATCATGATTTTGTTTTTTATTTTAGTCCTTTTTGTACCTGGCACTCTCCGGTGTTGGGATCACAGCTTGTGGCGTGACCGTTGCAGCTACAGCGCACGCAGCGACCGAGTCCGGTACCACTGCCTTCCACGCGGAGGAAGCCAGCCGCACACTCCTGCAAAAACAAGCAGTTAGAATGTCATGTTAACATTGCATTGAAAATAAATCATATTATGTTGCTAATAAATTGTCGTATTAACATTGCTTTGAAAATAAATCATACGCTGCGATTAGATCTCATTGCATTTAAAATAAATTATTTTTTGTGGTTAGATATCCTTTTAACATTGTACTGGAAATGAATAGTATACTATCATAAAAGCTACAACAATGGCCACATTCAAATTTAAGCACAGATCACTGAATTAAATGTTATAAAAAAAAAAAAATCAAATAACCCCCCCCCAAAAAAAACCCCAAACAAACTCTTACAAACCTGGCAAGAGAGACCGGTGTAGCCATCGGGGCAGATACACTTCTCCACCTCGGGAGCGGCACGTTTTCCGGTCGGCTGGGGTACAGCAATCTCCATACGCAGGTCGGTGAGACTGACAGAGTCCATGACAGAGTGGTATGTGGCTCGGATCAGGATCGCGTCGATGTCGGCCAACACACTCAGGAAAGCCTCCCTTGACGGGGTCTGGCCGTCCATCAGGTTTCTGAAGGAGCTCTGTTGTCACACAACGAAACAGGTAAGATAATTAATATGTTTTGGTTTTAGTAAAAGGTTTACAGCGCTTGCAACTAAGCACCATCCAAAGATTAGAGGTGTCATGAGAGATTAACATACAAGAAGCAGCAATAAGAACAATAGATGTTTGAAAGATAAGGAGGAGTAAATAACGCCATATTGCCTGACAACCATTCACTAAGATGATCCTGCCATGTGATGAGATAGTGAGATAGTATATGACACAAGACAACAGTAGGCCTTTAACTCTTTAAACCCCATCAGACGCTGAGAGCGTCCAGTACTAGAGACAACTGTTTCGTTTTATTTAGAGCTAGTTTTTGCTTGTTATTCGAAACTATTCCTGTACCAAGTTTTTAGTAATGACTAAGCCTTTGTTTCCGCTATTTAGAAGTTGGTCTTAGAGGCAAACTTTTGGGGTTGTAAAGAGAAATAGTGCACCAGGTTCAGAAATGGTGGAAAAAACTCAGGGCTTTAAGACTAAGAGTTACGGACAGAATGAAGAAAACAGCACTCAATGGATGTTAAAACTGCACTGATCAACACCTTAGGTTTTAGTAGAATGCTAACAAAAGGAGAGAAAGAAAAGAAAAGACTATTTCTTCCTTGTGTCAAACTGCAATAATAAAATCTATATGCAAGAACAGGCATCTCCAAACCCCCCCCCCCCCCCCGACATGCACACAAATACAAACACATAAACACACACACACACACTCACATACACACACACACACACTTACACACACACACACACACACACACACAAACACACACACACACACACACACACACACACACACACACACACACAAACATTTAAACGCACAGGCCCACAATTCGCCTCCCCCTCCCCCCTTACCTCAGTGAGCAGAATATCGTAGTCGTAAGACTGACGGGCCTTGGGAGATGGACGGAACAAGTAGTACATCCTCTTGTCTTGCTTGCTCTGGACACAGAAATAACCGGTGAGTGTGTATACATTATGGGACACAGAAATAACAGGTCAGTGTGTATACATTATGGGACACAGAAATAACCGGTGAGTGTGTATACATTATGGGACACAGAAATAACAGGTCAGTGTGTATACATTATGGGACACAGAAATATCAGGTCAGTGTGTATACATTATGGGACACAGAAATAACCGGTGAGTGTGTATACATTATGGGACACAGAAATAACAGGTCAGTGTGTATACATTATGGGACACAGAAATAACAGGTCAGTGTGTATACATTATGGGACACAGAAATAACAGGTGAGTGTGTATATATTATGTATCTTAAATTTGAACGATTGTCAAATATTAAAATCCTCAACTTTATATTCTCTTTAATTTTTTTTTATAATGAAAAATGAGAAGTGAAACAAAATTATAATAAGCACTTATGATATGGCAAATAAAAAGAAGAAAAGTCAGTATCAATATCGTTGAGGAGTGATTTTACAATAAGTTTCTTTCATTCTTTAATTATGCAAAAACAATTATGTACATTTGTGAAAACCATTCTTATTATTTTCCCACCGATACGAACGCAAATCAAATACCCAAACTACAATTAATAAATCGCTACCTTAGTATCACAAAGATCTATCCGCTCAGTACCTAGTTTTGAGAAATTTGAAGGAAAAGATTTTGAGTTTCACTTCATGCCAAGCTTTTTCAAATGCAATTCTTTGAATACCTTGATAACAATTAATTCTTAATAATCTTATGATTGTGACAAAGCAGATAGAACATTTATTTTTTTATTTTTTGGTCTTAGTAACTCCAAACAGCCAAAAAAGGTCAGGTAGAACTTTATAATTCTAAGACAGCGAAATGTTAAAAAATACAAAACAAAAACAAATGTACTTACGATGATTTCCACATCAACGTCCATGTACTCACGACCAGCATCGAAGGCAGTGGTGTAGGACAGACCGAATCTCAGGAAGCCTCCATAGGATGACACCTGTACACAAACCATACATACGTTATCAGTGCTACAGAAAAACATACAGAAATATTATAACACTTTGCGGTCACTTGGTGCAATAATGCGCCGATGAAAATTATCCGTTCCGGTCCCTGGCACAGTTCCTGGCTGGATGACCAGATGGGGTACTTTGTACTGTTGGCTGCATGACTACAGTGTTAAATACACAGTAGAAAAGGTATGCACACAATTTATCTTCTACAACTTCTAAATAGGATTGAACATATTTTTTGCTTCACAGCTTTAGTCAAGTTCATAATACTTTTCAAAAGTCAAAGGAGCAATGTATATCCATTGTCAGTAAATACCAATACGACATTAAAGTATAGCAAATAATTATTTTTTAAAAATTGCATTTTGCTGTAAGAGCAATGAAAACCCAGCAATGAGTGATTCCATTTCACACTTTATCTAAGGCTGAAAAACAACACTTGCCTTGTTGCCTCTGAATTTGGGAGGAAGCTGGAAGAACAAGCTCTCCTGTTCCCTCTGGATTCCTTCAAAGTTGTTGAAAGTGATCTCGTTGCGGGAAGCATCCATGGTGAAGCCGTCGGAGATGGTACGGGACAAGCGACGATTGGTCAAGGCGAAGTTGTGAGTTCCGTCAGAGTTGAACATGGGGACAATCTGGGAAAAGGCAACAAATTACAGTGACATAAATAAAGGTGAGTAGGCCTACAGTCAAACTTGTTTTGATGGCCATGACGACCTGTCCGAGTCAATCATCTGTACAAACAAACACTTCCCACTTCCCATCCCCCCCCCCCTTGTGTTTTTTCAATATTATCATAATGACATTATTCAACATTTCCCCTCCTATAGCACTTTTTCCTATATAATAAAGGCAGTGTTCAAGACGTCCACCTGTCAGAGACAACCATTTTCTCCTCCACAATGGGTGGCCTTCTTGGACAATTTCGACAATATTGATCTTCGTCAAGAAATTAATTTTAAGCATTACAATTCCGTCTCTCTTGTCTTCAAAATAACCATCATAATATTTTTAACCCCCCCAAAAAAATAAAAATAAAAATTGGACATAGATCAAGTCTTCCAATCCTAACACATTTCACAAATGCACAATTCTGAAGTGCAAGACAGTATTCATAGGTACAGTATATGCGGGTGAGGAGAATTGCCCCCCTCCCTCCCATCCCCCCAAAACAAACAAACAACAAAAACAAAAAACAAAACAAAAAAAAACTTGTGTGAAAAAAAAAGTGTGTGTGTGTGTGTGTGTGTGGGGATCCAGAATCTCCTCTAAGACTGACCTCGTCTCTGTAGTAGTTGGAGCTGGAGCACTGGTTGGTGATGCCCATACAGAAACACTTGAGACATCCCTGCTCGTTGTCCTGGTTCAGGTAGAAGTAGCCTTCCTGGCAAGTGCTGCAGCGGAGACCTTGGACGTACGTCTGGCCAACAAAACAGGAAGTTTATGAACGAAATGTTATGATATCGCAAGCACATGTACAGCTAATGTATACAGTTCTGGGTCTAAAAAAACGCAGAAAATTCTGCAACTCTATCTCTCAGTGATAACAGCAAAGTTTCAAACAAATTTGAAAAAAAAAGCACCCCAGTTGTGCTTCCTTTTGAAAATGGCTCATATATGAAAGGAGAAAGAGAGAGGGAGGGAGAGAGAGGGGAGAAATGGAGAGGGGAGAGAGGGTTAGGTGGGGCAGGGGGAGAGGGAGAGAGAGACAGAAATACAAAGAGACAGAGAGATAGAGAGAGAGAGATGGAGAGAGAGAAACAGAGAGAGAGAGAGAGAGAGAGAGAGAGAGAGAGAGAAACAGAGAGAGAGAGAGAGAGAGAGAGAGGAAGAGAACGCAAGAGGGAGACTGGAAATAAGACAAGAGACAGATACAGAGAGATGAAAACAGAGACAGAGAAAGAGACAGAGACAGAGAGATAAAAACAGAGATATTCACGGTAAACTTCTGACTCACCTTGCACTGGCATTGCTGAGTGTTGGGGTCGCAGAGTGCGTTGGGAAGGGTACCCCTGTCGTCACAGTCACAGGTGACATCTGAGGAGGAGACAAAATTAATTAGTTTAAAACAGCATAACACAACGCCTGAACATCATGAACATTTTGCAGAATTTGATGAAATAACGTCCCGCGACACCCAAAAGGTTATAAGCGGTGAATAAAAATAAAGATGAAATAATGAATCTGTACACAATGACAATGTGAAAATTACAATTCATACGAAAAGGTGAGATGTTACCACAATTGGATCCAAAATGGTCAATTTAAAAAACCATCCTTCCCCTTTAAAAAGTAATGGAAAAAAGGGATTCGAAAACTATAAGTTTGATTTAAAATTTAGTAGCCTGATGCTTTGCTAAAAAAAAAAACCCTGAATACAATTTAAAAAATGACTTACTGATCAATTTACAGAAGTCTCCAGGGCGGTTGGGGTTACCTTGGTAACCATCAGCACATCTGGGGATTATGAAGAAACAGTTCTAGCATTAGATTAAATTAAGGGATACATTAGGCCTACCTTGTTCAGAAAAATAGAAATCTAAAGACTGGGGTTTTAATATGTTCTTAATACATCATTAAGACAGCATAACCTTCTGCATCTTGACATCTTACTTGTTTTACTTGTGTGAAAAACAAGTAAGATGTCAAGATCTCGACAGTATAAGCAGTATAACATATGTTATGCCGTTGTAAAAGAAAATTTGCCTGTGGAGATCAATAAAGTGGAATTCATTCATTCATTCATTCATTCATTCATTCATTCATTCATTCATTCATTCATTCATTCATTCATTCATTTATTTGTTCATTCGTTTATTCGTTTATTTATTAATTTACGAATTTATTCACTTATCTATTTGTTTGTTATCAACACATTTTCCCTTACCTCTCGCAGCGACGTCCAGTATGACCGATGGGGCAAGACAGACAAGTCACTTGACCATCTGCCTCCAGTTGGCAGTCTGGGCTGAACCTGGTTTTCACAGGAAGTAAATCAAGTACATCTTTAGAATTTCAATCCAATTCAGATTTTGATTCATTTTTCAACAAATAATGTGCATTACTCAGAGAGGCTTTACAAATCAAGGCTCCTTGGCATAGGTCTACATATTTTTTTACAAATCATAATAGGCCTAGGCCTAACAATAAGTTAAGAGCTTACAAAACAAGCAGAAATTTGAAAAAGCCAGAGTTAATACTAGACTTGTATTATGGGAAAACTTCTTCAGAAAAATATGTATAGGGCCTACATCTAAGGGTTTTTCTCTTCTACTCTGCATCTATTTTTCACCCTTTAAAATGGTAATGAGTAAATTATGGTTGAGCTGAGATAAAAATAATTCATTTTATAACGTTTGACTTTTTTGTTTTAAAGTATCCCAATTTGTTCAAAGTTTAATGTTAAAATATAAATAGATGCTATTGGCTTTACTATCATCTTCACTATTTCCTCACAACTGACCTTCATGAATGTACAGATGCTGAGAGGTCTAAACTTTGTTTTTTGTTAAAGTAAAAGTTTTACGACACTTGCAACACAAACAGCTCATATAAGTGCCAATGATTAGAAGTGTTACAAGAGAGTAACGTACAATGAAAAAAGGAGATGAAGGATGTTTGATTGAATAGAGCAGAGCAAAAGCTTCGACAAAGGGAGAAAACTCACTGGTTGGGAGACTCGGTGAGAGGACAGGGGCACTTCTGGCAGTCGTTGACGGAGCCACGAGTGGAGTTGCCATAGTAACCACGGCTGCAGCGCTCGCATCTGTCTCCCTCAGTGTTGTGACGGCAGTTCTGACAATCAGAAAAAAAAACAAGCACAACTTTAGCACCCAAAAAAATAAAGAAAAATTTGTGAAAAGAAAATAAAACAATTATTTATATTCCGAGCATCCCTGTCTCTGATTTCTGATTTTGTCCTGACGAAATCACCTATCTCTTATAAACACAACATCAAGCTAATAGTTTTAAGTTTGTTTTGTTCCGAATTAGGATGGAAATTACCTCTGCTATATACATCAAGGATGAGTAAACTAAAAGTAAAACCTTTCATGCAATGTTGCGTTTCCAGCTTCTACGTTAATAGTGATGTTAACATTCTACTCTTACAACGTAAGATTTTGAGAACATTTCGGGGTATTTTTGGGGGGTGAAATTTTGTCTCGTCAATATGGTCTATATAAATCACCCAGGATATACAGAAATATAGTCACATCAAATTCACATCATATCAAAGATAATTTCATATGGAAGCTGAAAATATAGGAATCATGAATATATGACTTAACATAGACGTATGGCTTGTCTTTGTTGAGTCAAAGGTCAGAGGTTGCTACTCACCCTGCACACGCCATTCTCAGGGTCGCAGTCACTGGAGTGACCATTGCACTGGCAGGGCTCACAGAGGCCAAGGTAAAGGCCACGGCCGGTCCTGGTGTAGCCAGGGGCACAGTCCTGGGAAATAGCAATGATAATGATAATAGTAATAATAATAATAATAATAATGATAATGACAATGATAAAAATAATAACAATAATAATATTAATATTATTAATAATGATAACAATAATGACAATGATAACAACAATAGTAATGGGAATTTATTTCGCGCTAAATCGCTGGAAAGCTCACAATACACTCCCTTGTACACCGATAGATAACTTGTGATTTCAATCATAAGGCAGTTCTAGAACATAAATATGCTTCCTTTTCCCTTCAAAACATAAACACAAAGTCTTGCACACCTAGCAAGATACGCTACAAATAAACCAATACACATATCGTTAATTCAATCAAAAGGCAGCTCCAACACATTTATGCTTCCCACAAATAAATCAATACACACAATGTGATCTCAAACAAGAGACAATCCTGACATATTTCATTCATTGTTTCAGGAAGCAACATCCCTGCATTCCGAACATGTCCATTGATGCTCCGTTGCTCTCTCCAAAATGTCGCTGAGGGTCTTTCCACTGATTGTGCCAGTGCATATCTGGTTGAACGTTCTTCTGTTCTTTCCCAGATTTTCCGCTTCCTTTTTGTATTCCCAAAACCATCATCCTCTCCCCAGCAGTACTGGCCTCTGCCTCCCTATCTTCCTCCTCAATCAGCTGGTGAAAGAGACATCCTGATCCTATCTGGTTGAACCGTTCTGTCAACTGAGATGGCCTCACCGGCCAGTCTGTTGGCTATTTCATTTCCCCTGACATATTTACAGAACAAAAGCACAGACTGTTACTTACCTCACAAGACAATCCGCGGTAGCCCTGAGGGCAGACGCACTGCTCCACGGGGTAGGCTCTGTCCTGTCCGGTACGTCGGTCCTCCGCAATGTCCAGGGAGATGCCGCTCAAACTGTCGACAGGAGAGAGAAGGAATTTTCTAGAAGTTTCTAATCAAAGTTTTCTTATTGAAAAATTAACAGTCGCTCCAGTGGAACCCACAGGGAGCACACGGCAGGGGTAGGCCACGGGAAACAGGGAGGAAATTTGTGGAAAGGGACAGGAGAGAGAGATGAAGCTCACTTGGAACGAGCTTAGAAGGATGGCCCAGGGCAGACATAAATGGAAGGAGCTTGTATGTGGCCTATACCCTGCCAGGGATGAAAGGCATTGATGATGATGATGATGATGATACTCTCCCTCCTACCCTGCTTACCAAAAAATGATGATGATGATGATGATGATGATGATGATGATGATGATGATGATGATGATAATGATGGTGTGTGTTTTTATGCTCCAAACAACACAATTTAGATTTTTTAAGAAGCGAGCATTTGATCCTGCCTATCAGGGCCAACCCAGGCTGACAGGGATACAACATGCCAGTAGAAAGACTGAGGTGCTCTATAAAAATTTTTCCGACTCGAGAATTGAACATGTGCCTACAGAAAAGCACCTAACCACTACAACACAGGTGATGGTGAGTCAAAGATCAGCTGCAAAAAACCCCCAAAAAACTGTACACAAAGCTTGACACAAACTGTAATCTTAATACAAAATATCACCTTATTTAGTAAACAATTGAAAATAGTAAAGGTGCATAAAAAATTTTGAGTGCCATTCAGATATGAACCATGCCTATTGTACTAAAATAAATTAAGCTCGCAAACAAGGTTTTAGAGCTGAATACAACAAACCAATATACCTGAATGTCATTTAGAAACAAAAATGGTGAGTGAAAAAAAACCCTAAATAAAAAAAACATTTTCATGAAAAAAAAAAAGTGATAAACTTTATTATTCTGAAGACAGTAAACTTCAAAAAAACAAAATAAGAAATGATTTTTTCAAGTTACTTACGCAGTCTCGTCAATCTCATTAGCATATGAGGCACGGACCAGAATGAAGTCGAGATCAGCCAGAGCCATAAGCAGGTGCTCCCTGGTCGCACTTTCTCCATCCACTCTCATCCACTCGGTCTGAGGAATTGAGAAATATCGCCCATTGGCATGAAACTAGGCTCTGTTTAAGAGAATGGGACAGAACAAATTATTCACATTTTTCTGATTCATGGGCAATTTTTGAATATTAATCCCACAGACAGAAAAAAAAGAGTCTAAAACAGCACCAGGACATGGATGGCTGGTGCCTCTATAAACAAATCATTGATGGTCAAGGTCAAGGTCAAGGGCAATTTTTGTGGGAACTTTTTTTGTTTGGTCAACACCCAAGCTTTGGAAGACACCAAATTTTGGTGGCCATTTTCTCATTAAGACACCGGGAGATCCTCATCTCCTTAATTAAATGGCAAATATTTCAACTTCTACCCAAGACAGAGGCAGTTGGTGTGGTTTGGTTTTAACCCTATGAACTTGAGCACAAACCACCTTTAACCTCCTGAATACCAAATTTTCTTTCACGTCTCAGTGCATCCCCGAGTAAATCCAGCTTTTGTGCTCCTGAGGAACCTCAACCTTTTCTGATAATGGCCTTGGCTTGGTAATAAAGGCTCATCCTGTATGGTTTTTACAAAGCAGGGGTCACTCAACTAGAGGTTAGACCAGAAGTCATTACGAGTTGCCCACAATTCCAGGATATGGTGTTTTCCACTTTGGGCATGATGAAAAAATGCTGGTTAAGACCTCTGAACAAGTGGAGACCTTGCACGTTTTAACATACGTGTTCTTACTTGTCTGTTAAAGAATTCTTTAGTTCTCTCTCCCCATTTATTCTTCAACATCATTCAAAAAGTTATGTAGTGGCAACTTTAATATTACTAACAAAAAATCCTTTTCTTCCATTCAAAGTTTTTGACAGGGTTTCAAGAACAATTGGCACAAAATATCTTCTCTGATTATTCAAAATACCTCAATAAATGGCACTTGGAATGATTGCTGTCTGCCTTCCTGCACTGGGCGAGAAGATCTGTACATCAGAGTGATATCATTGCCCTGAGAAAAAGAAAATGATGATTAGGAGTTTATTTGGAATGTAAGAAAAGTCAAAGAAGAATAAAAACATAGATTGATACTAATCATGGAAACCCTTAGAAAGGCTTTAATGCAGTAAATAAAATGTTCCAACTAAATGGACAACTTTACTCATATAGGCAAAATGATCAGTCAAATATATTTTATACAATTTCTACCCTTGAAACTCAAGTGGTTAAAGGCATAACAATAATGTAAATCGCATAGATGTATGGAAAAAAATGAAGGTACCTTATTTTACAAATATAAAAGAAAGATTTCTTTATGTTTCTTAAAGTCCGCAAGGCTCAAAGATGTATGTTTTGACGTTCAAACTCACTCCAATTTCCACAATAGGGTTGGACAGAGAGATCTGAGAGTTGTCCCTTCCGGCACGGTAGCGGATGGTGAACCTGAGGTTTCCTCCGTAGGAAGACACTTTGTCGCCCAGGAACTGTTGGGGCAGGGCCCAGTAGTAGATGCCAGGCTCCAGACGGCTGAATCCACGGAAGACGAGCTCGCGAGACTGGCGATCTATGGAGAGACCCTGGGTGAATCTCTGCTTCTGCATCATGTCTGTGATGTACACGCCGGTGTCTGGTTGGTTGATGGATACACCAACCTGGGGACAGAACAACAGCAGTGAAAATGTATGGTCATTGTTGACTATGCTACAAAGGTTGGACTGGGAGTAGAGCACGAATAAGGGGGCAAAGTTGTCGCTAAATATGGACATCTAAAGAAGCTATTTATTACTATGCATTAATTTAAAGATAATTGATCTTTTTACAATGTCTGAGAAAAGAAGGAGCAAACTGCTCAGCATCTTATGATGTTAACAAATTGCACATAACGTAAGTAAAAGTAAAGCTGTTCCCGTATCCAATCTGGACTTTGGGGATGGCCTTGTTAGTGAGACAACTTCCTGGGCCTTCAGCATATTGTGGTAGGGTGGCCAGTTCCTTTCCATGCCGCCTTTACTTCCCCAACTTGAAGTCAGGTCCCCATTACTGCTGGGTGGGCAGGAGGGGGCGAAAAAAATCCTTGTTCGAAGCGAGGCTCGAACCCGGACTTTCTGCTTTGGAGACGAGCCCATAACGTAAGTACAATTGTTAAAAGAATGAAATAGTTTTTTCTCTCTCCTGAAAAAGTTGCTTTTTGGGCTTATAGTGGCCTATACTAGAACAGCCTGCCTACAATAGAACACACTGTGTATGTTGGCAATAATATAAATGATGTAACGGTAACTAGTTTGAGTGGGTGGTTGGCGGGTGCTCTGGTGTGGTTTGCATCTTCTTTCCTATCAAACATCTATCGTCCTTATCTCCCCTTCTTCTTTTTTATGTTTGTTACTCTCTTGTAACACCTCTAATCTTCTGGCGCTCATATGACCGTATGCAGTTGCGAGCGCCGTATAACCTCTACTAAAACTAAACTAAAACTAGTTTGACCTCTGACCTGAGCGCGGTTCCAGGAAGAGCTCTGACAGGTCTGAGTGACGCCCATACAGAAGCAGGAGATGCAGCCGTACGGGTAGTCGGAGGACAGGTAGAAGGTGTCGTCCTTGCAGCTGTCGCAGTACCGGCCTTCAACGTTGCCCTGAAGAGAGGGAAAGAAAAACACAACTGTTGCAATAATGGCCTTCCATTTTACCCTCGACGGAAAGAAAGAAAAACACAACTGTTGCAATAATGGCCTTCCATTTTACCCTCGACGGAAAGAAAGAAAAACAGAGCGAAGTATTTAATAACTGTTGCAATACTGGTTTTAAACATTACCCTCGATGGAATGAAGGAAAAATAAAGAAAGTATTTAACAAATTTTGCTGTACTGGCCTAATGTTATTATTATTATTATCATCATCAACATCATTAACATCATCATCATCATCATTATCATCATCATCATCATCATCATCATCATCATCATCATCATTATTGTTATTATTGTTATTTTTATTATCATCATCATCATTATTATTATTATAATTATAATTATTATTATTATCTATATCACCATTATCAGCAGTAATAGTAGTAATAGTAGTTGTATGTTGAAAAGCCTGATGAGAAGAGTTGTGACAGTAGGTCTGTCATCCTACCTTGCAGGTACACTGTCCAGTAATCACATCAGGGAGGTCAGTCACACTGCCGCGCTGGTCGCACACTTTGAAGTCCGTGTCTGTGGGGAAAGATACGAGCCTCAGTTGAAAACTGTTTGTAAATAGTAAAGAAAAGACTAGATTGAAGGAGTCAAGGAGGCCCTAAGAAATTAAAATATCCCAATTAAAAGAGCTGCGGAGCTGGCCTACCATAGAAAACTGCAGCTCCCCTCGACGCTTACCAGCAACAGATGATGAAAAAGTCGTCAGCATTATCATCATCATTGCCTTTCTCACCCTGTACCAGGGTAAAGGCAACAAAAAAACACCTTCCACCTTTCTCTATCCTGGGCTTGCCTCTTGATGTTATTCCATGTCTTCCCACTTTTCTGTACATCAATTTTTGTGAATAACTTAAAAGTAGGTAAATAATTGTAACGTTGTCTATGCTCTATATCTGAGGAAATACTTCAGTTGACCATATATAGATGTGTTTTCTTTTAACACAAAAATTAAGCGCTGACTTCTCTAATTGTGCTGTTTATTTCTCTAAGATCAAGAACAATTAATTAATAGGCCTATAATTTTTTTTCTGTTTCAAACTATTGTCTCTTTGCCTTGCCTAAGGACACATTCCAGAGACTACCAATCTAAAATCTGTAACGTCAACATTGCTTTCCATTCTTTGTGAACCAACATTAAGTAACTGACCCCTATCGCTGACCTAGTGGTTAGGCTACTGGACTCGTAATCCTGAGGTTGTTGGTGACCTAGTGGTTAGGCTACTGGACTCGTAATCCTGAGGTTGTCGGTGACCTAGTGGTTAGGCTACTGGACTCGTAATCCTGAGATTGTCGGTGACCTAGTGGTTAGGCTACTGGACTCGTAATCCTGAGGTTGTCGGTTACCTAGTGGTTAGGCTACTGGACTCGTAATCCTGAGTTTGTCGGTGACCTAGTGGTTAGGCTACTGGACTCGTAATCCTGAGTTTGTCGGTGACCTAGTGGTTAGGCTACTGGACTCGTAATCCTGAGGTTGTTGGTGACCTAGTGGTTAGGCTACCGGACTCGTAATCGTGAGGGTGTGGGTTCAGGGTTTGAGTCGCGGGCCCGACGTTGTGTCCTTGGGAATGGCACTTTAAACGAATTTTCCTCACTTCACCCTGGTGGGAATGGGTACCCGCCCATAGACAGCAAAAGACCTTGTCAGTATGTTAGTGTTTTAGTGCCTATAAATAGCCATTTGCACTGTATGCTTCCAAGGAAGTTGAGGTTGTTTCAGAATGCTCTCAGGTCTGCTGGGGTAATAGTATAGATTGTGAAGCCCATAGAGCTTGCTGTTGAGCTGGGATTTGCGTTATACAAATGTTATCTATTATCAACTCTCCTACCTCCGGCCTTTCTGCAGCGGCCGCCTTCGACAGCAGGGTTTCCGAGATATCCTTCGTCACACCTCTCACACCTGCGTCCGGTGTAGCCCTCAGGGCAGGCGGTGCAGGTAATGTCTCCGTCAAAGTCACGGATGCAGGTGGGGCTGAACCTGGAAGATACAAATAAGTGCAAAGTGGAAAAAAAGTTTGTATCATTTACTACTTCAATACAAAATCTATAGCAAAGCCCTTAACATCTTCCCATCGCTGTAGGTCCTTCTATTCAATTGCTATGAGCTCTGGTACACCCATATATATATGCTGCAGCATACACTGTGAGCTTACCTAGTACACCCTTACATCATGCTGCAATATATCATGCTGAGGGCAAACCTGGTGTGCTTTTGTATATCACTGCTGCACGCACTTTGAGCTTACCTGGTACACCCTTGAAACCTCATGTTTTGTTTCATTCCTAGTTCCAACCTCAGTTTTGAATAAAGAAAGTTATATATATCCCTGTGGTCTGTGTTCACTTGCTGATGCAATCATGTCTATTTTTAGGTTGCTGTGCGTGGGAACCACACACGACAAAGTCTACAACAAAGATAGATTTGTACCCCATCATGGTTGGAAATTGAACTCGAGAACTCGAACATGACATGTACAGCCCTCTCCCTGATCCTTGAAGTACTCACTGGTTGCTTGGGGTGCTCAGAGGGCAGGGGCAGGGCTGGCAGGCGTTGGGACGTCCAGAGCTTGGGTCGCCCACAAAGCCAGGGGCGCACTGGTTGCAGTAGGGTCCGGCGGTGTTGTCACGGCAGTTCTGAAACCAAACAGCAGTAACAGTTGTCGAGTACCTGACTCACGGAGTTGATGTTTCATCCATCAGAGGGTGAAAGGAAATATACATCTGACCCATGTCTATAAGTTGCAAGTATTAGTTTTAACCTTTCCAGCCCCATGTGCGTATATTTTCAGCAGCGCTTGTACCTCCCTCCGTCCCAAGAGCGTATATTCTCAGTTTCGGGGGGTACCGAATTCGCACATTTTTCGAAATTAGCGAACTTAATTAAACTTTAATTTTTTTATTACTTGTTCATTTACCTTTAAAAATTGGTATATGTTATTATCAAAGCTACATTACAAAGATACTACATCACTTTTTAGAATGAATGCCTCTTTTTCTGAAATACTGCTGTATTGGCTGGGACTGGGGTTAGGGAGTGCACAAAAATGGCTGGGGCTGGAAGGGTTAATAAGAGTTTTTCGGTACTTGCAACACAAATAGGCCATACAAGGGCCAAAGACTAGACTCAAGGTGGTACTTGAGGGCAACATTCAAGGAAATAATAAAAAAAATAAAATAATAAATTACACTTTTATTTGTCCCAGAAGGGCACTTTGTTTTACAATGGCAAACATACATACATAAATACATAATTATAAATACGTACATACACAAATACATACATGCATAAATACATACATAAATACACACTATTACACAAATACAGAACAGTTTAATAACAATGCCACTGTCGGTCGCCACTGTGCAGCACCCTGTAATTTGAGCTAGGGTTGTCGTGTCTTGCTCAAGGACACACTCCAGTGACCACCCATCTGATCCCCGTGTCACCGACACTTGCTTGACATTGCTTGAGTCAAAACTCACTACTCACTTAGCCACTGGAGCCCCCAAAAGAAGGAGGAGGGATGAGGATGATAGATGTTTGACAGGAAAGAAAGAGTAAACCACACAAGGCACCCACCGACCACCAACAGTTACAAGTATGCTAATCATCCTTTCAAAGGGCTCACATGAAATATCTACTTCCCAATAAGTTTCCCATTTTTATTCTATGAACTTTGATTCAGCACAGCAAGCAGATGGAGAATGAAAAGACACAGACAAAGATCACTTAACTGAAGCTTCTTAAAAAAATTCTTAGATCATTTAGCTTGTATCCTGATTACATTTTCATCAAAATTTTTTTAAAAAGGTCAAATATGATAAGATGTACATTACTGATCCTTTTAGGAGAAAAAACTAAGAGTGTTTTATGCAACTGCTACAAGGACAATCACACAGACAAATATTTTATATTGACACACACAAAAAGACAAAATTTCAACCCTCAAACATACCCACTGTCATTCAATACCTCTCTCTCTCTCTCTCTCTCTCTCTCTCTCTCTCTCTCTCTCTCTCTCTCTCTCTCTCTCTCTCTCTCTCTCTCTCTCTCTCTTTCTCTCTTTTCATTCTCTCTCTCTCTCACTCTCTCTCTCTCTCTCTCTCTCTCTCTCTCTCTCTCTCTCTCTCTCTCTCTCTCTCTCTCTCTCTCTCTCTCTCTCTCTCTCTCTCTCTCTCTCTCACACACACACACACACACACAGCTCTTACCCTGCAGATGCCATTGAATGGATCGCACTCGTTGGAGTGTCCGTTGCAGTTGCAAGCGATACACTCACGGCCGTATCTGCCTCTCTCCACACGGTAGAAGCCGGGGGCACAGTCCTGAGAAAAGAAATTATACCACATTGTAGTTGGGTTTTAGAACTGGGTGAGTAATTGAGTAATCAAGACTCTGTGTGATGCTAAAAAGACTGGCTTGAGGCAACAACAACAACAACAACAACAACAACAACAACAACAACAACAACAACAACAACACCAGCAAACAGCAACACTAATTACAACAGACAACAAAAACAACAACAACAATAAAAACAAAATCATCAACAATACCAACAACAACAACAATAACAACGACAACAACAACAACAATAACAGCAACATTAATTACAACAGCACACACACACAACAACAACACAGTAACAGCAACATCAATAACAACAGCATTTACAACAGCTCGAACAACAGCAACAACAACAACAACACTACCATCACCAACAACAACAAAACAGCAACAACAAAAACAGCAACAACAAAAACAGCAATAACAAAAACACCACCACCACCAACAACAACAACAAAAACAGCAATAACAAAAACACCACCACCACCAACAACAACAACAACAACACCAACAACACCACCACCAACAACAACAACAGCAGCAACAGCAAGAGACATACCTCACAAGAGTTGCCCGAGTAGTCAGTAGGACACTGACACTGCTCCACAAAGACAGCTCACAACAACAACAACAACAACAACAACAACAACAACAACAACAACAACAACAACAACAACAACACAAGGGAGGTGGTGGCCCTGGCAAAGAGCACGCTCTTCGGGGCTCCAAACATTTCGAGCGGATGGACTACCACACACACACACAACAACAACAACAGCAGCAACAACAATATACCTCGCAAGAGTTGCCCGAGTAGCCAGTAGGACACTGACACTGCTCCACAAAGACGGCACGGCCCAGTCCAGTTGGCTGGTTTCCTCCGGTGGTCAACAAGACATTGCCCAATCTGAGACGAGACGAGAAACACATTAAATATGTGAGGCAGCGTGGTGAAATCAGGCGCTCGTCAAAATAATTAAATTTAAAAAATAGGCATTTTTCTGCATATTGGCCATTTTTTATCGAATTTTTTGTTTTTGACTATTTTTTGCTTTTAGTTGTCCATTCAAATATACATTTCTGTGTGGATTTTACTATAAAACGTTGATTAAAAGCACAAAATAATATATGTAAGTTTTCATTTGCCACGGGCTCTCCAGCTAAGGACATAACTAGTCTTTGGCGACCATTTTCTCAATATTTTTATGTCTGAAACCAGGTGACCCCACCTCCTTCATTCACAAATATCTCGACTTGTATTCAAGATAAATGGACATTTTTTCCTCAAAAGCAAAACAAATGAACAAGCTTTAAGATGAAACCAATAACTCCACATACCCAAAAATTGACGAGAGCCTGGTTCCACAGCGTCATGACATACATATATCCCTTTAAATCTCTTTCTAGAACACTTTTCTTGATGAGGAACTTTCCTTCCAGCTCGCCACTTCAACATTTATAAAATCTTGGTATACAAACATCCTCATCACACACATTTACCCCACACAAGTTTGTCCTAACAACTCATCGTACCTTGTCCTTATCTCTTCTCCTTCTTTTCTTAGTGCGATATTCTTTAGCAACACTTCTAATCTTCGGAGCTTATATGACCTAATTGTGTTGCAAGTGCTGTAAAACTCTAACTAAACCACAACTAAACGAGGGACAGTACCTGATGAGTGACTGCCTGTTGTCGTAGGTGGCCCTGATGAGGATGGTGGTGACGTTCTCCAGGACCATCATGAGGTCTTCACGAGACGCGTACTCCGAGATAGACGATCCTCTCACAGCACCGTCAACGCTACGCTCCCAGGAAGTCTGCGGACAGCATCAATTACCTCATGATAATAATAATAATAATAATAATAATAATAATAATAAATTAACAGAATTTATGATTAACAGAACGCTGTTCTCTATTTGATCATATTATCTAATTATCCAATTTTTCAGAATCACAAATAATGTTCCAACAATTCAGTTCTATATGCATCATCAATGACCTCATAATTAATGGAAGGCTGCTCAACATTTGTACATATCCAATTATCCAGAGTCGCAAATTCCAGGCTATAAAGGAAGAGGAAGGCCACGCAAAAGGTGTATCGAGGGTGTCAAGGAAACCCTAAGAAAACATAACATCACAACTGAAAGAGCTGCGGAGCTGGCCTACCATAGAAAACTGCATCTCCCCTCGACGCTTAATGGCAACAGAGGATGATAAAGTAAAAAGTAAAAGTAAGTAGCAAATTTCATTACAACTCCACTCTATATGCAACATCAATGAGTTCATAATTATAGAAGGCTATTCCCCATTGGAGTAACATTAAAAAATAGGCATGACAAGCACCTGAAGACCCCCCGGATATGCACACACTGTAAACATCAGAAACGATGTAGCCGGTGAAAATTAACAAACATAATGATAAGGAGTGAAAGACAACAGTGTAAAAATATAAGAATGTAACCCGATAACGACATGGGAAAAGAGAGCTGAATGCTGAGTTTATAGGCCTATCTATAACCACATCAAACACTCACCTCAACCAGAGGAACATTGACAGTTGTCTGAGATCTGGGGCGGAAGTCAGAGTCTTGTCTGTGGAAAAGTGTAATTCCATTTCCCTGGGGAAGAAGCACATAGTTTATGTTAACAAAAGCTTTGTAATGTTTACAGTAAATCTGAGAGAGGTTCTAGCTTAACCCATTCAGGTCTACGGATGAGAATACTCGTGAAACCTGGGCTCAGCCCACATACTAGCAACGAGTATTCTCGCATTCTGCCTCGCATTGGTGGCCTAGTGGTTAGGCTCTCGGACTCGCAACTGTAAGGTCGTGGGTTCGAATCCCGTCAGGGGCCCGACGTTGTGTCCTGGGGAAAGGCACTTTACACAAATTTTCCTCACTTCACCCAGGTGGGAATGGGTACCCGGCTATAGAGAGCGAAAGATCTTGTCAGTTTGTTAGTGCTTGAGCGCTTAATCAGCTACTTGCACTGTATGCTTCCTGGGAAGCTGAGAATGTTTCGGAATGTTCTATGGTCTGCTGGGGTAATAATATAGTGTAAAGCGCATAGAGCCTGCTGTTGAGCGGGGTATATGCGCTATACAAATGCTATTTATTATTATCATTATTATTATCTTTATAGAAAAAATTACTCTGTCTAATCGTGATGCATCATGGAAAAGGCCAAGGAGATATTTTTTCTGCTCGAACAGCCATTGAGTCCGCTAGTTTTTATTTACTTTCCTGGAATGACTTAATTTCGTGTTGCTATAACAAAACTGCTCAGTATATGAGGGGAGTTCACTTCTGGAGTGCTCAGATTTGGACGAGTTAAACAAAATATTCAACCGTATACGCCAAAATATGAATAACGCTAACAATACTAAATTAACAAATTTAAACAAGGATTTTTCCTCAGTAGCAGAGCCAATTCAACTCAGAGCAAAATATGCTATTGCTTGCAGACCGACTCTAGTTCTAGGATGTCACAGCTTTGAAAAAATTTCTTCAGTCCCCCGTCCATTCAGGAAAAGACCCATTTCCCAGCTCGAATGCTCCCATTAAAACGTATCCCAGTCTTTTTCTACTCATCAATCGGTTCAAGTTCTGAAGTGTCTCTTCTGAAAGTAAAAAAGAACAAAGGTAACTTACTGAGATGATCACATCGGGGTCGTTGGTCGGCACATCAAATCCATCCACCTCGTAGTAGACCTGATAGCTCAACATTCCTCCGTAACTGCTCAACTGTTGATGAAAGCCGAAAAAATATATTATTCTTAACTACTTAACTAAAAAGACATCCCATAATAGCAATACAATGAGTAGTACTTACATTGATACAAAATGTTTCGAAATATTCCACAAAGTTTAACTGATCTCATACTAGAAACAAGCATCCTTATGCCAAATGCAACGGTATTGTATGAAACAGTATTTCAGCTACAAATGAAAATGCTTCATGTTTACAGTTTGCAAAATAACTGAAACAGGAGAGGTCTTATTAAAAAAAGAATCTAAATTTCTTAATAAAACAAAGAGCCCAAGAAGGTTGCAACAGGACGTACTCTGGTAAAAGTAAGACAATAAAATAACATTGCAAAACATAAATTGTACATTGTGTCCTGACTAAAAATCTGTCTCTCTAACATATATTTATCACATCAATCAAAAAACAGACGACTTTAGCTTACTTTTGAATGAATTAAAAGAACAGGTCTCTCTTCAATCATTAAAAAAATCTTAATTTTCAAAAGTAATCCGCTCCAAAACAATAGTCAGAAAAAAGGAAACAAAATAATCTTGGTTGTCAAAAACAAAATAATCTTAGTTGTCAAAAACAAAATAATCTTAGTTGTCAAAAACAAAATAATCTTAGTTGTCAAAAACGAAATAATCTTAGTTGTCAAAAGTAATCCGCTCCAAAACAATAGTCAGAAAAAAAAGCAAATAAAAATCATCTTAGTTTTCAAAGGCAATCCTCTATGAAACATTACAAGAAAAAGAAAAAAAGCCCAACAAACAAAACCCCCCAAAGCAGCCTACCCTCTTGCTGAGGTACTGGTAGGGCAGAGACCAGTAGTAGCTGCCGGTCCTGAGGACACTGTTGAAGTCATCCACCTGGAACTGACGGGACGACGGAATGTACTGGATGAACGCCTGCTCCGCGGGCTCCAGGGTGGTTCTCCTCACAAGCTCCACGCGGTTGCCAAGGGTGATCTGAGCAGACCGAGGATTACATATCAACATCAGTACGTTCTGAGCATATTTGTAGGTAAGGTAATAATGATAACAACAATGATAATAATGGTAACGATTAAAAGAAAAAAGAATTATAGTCCACAGGAAGAACGTTGAACTTTTACAATCTTATAAATATTGAAATAATAATGATGATGATGATGATGATAATGATGATGATGATGATGATGATGATAAAACCAGAGACAATCCACAAAAAAGTAGACCTAAATAATAATAATAACAACAATAGTAGCAAACAATAACAATAATTATAATGCCAACATTAATATCCGCAATATTGCACAAGAGAACATTATAGAATTTCAGAGTAGATTCAAAGTTTTACTTAAGAGTATAAGGCAAAGAAAAGATCAGATGAGAGAAAAGGACAATGGACAATAGATGTTCGATAGGAAAGAAGGAGCAAACCATGTCAACCCCCCCCCCCCCCCGCTCCAACCACCTACTAAGTATTCTGAAAAGAAAAGCAACCTGAAACTTGAGGCTCTAATGCAACGGTAAAGCCTCTCTCAGGTTTGGGGTCAAGCAATTACCTGGGAGAGCTGAAGGTCGCTGCTGTAGCAAGTTGCTGTGTGGCCGAAGCAGAAGCAGCGCACGCATTCGCTTTCAACGACGGCGTCAACATTGAAGAAGTTCTGTCTGCAGACTCCAACGGTTCCTGGGGAGCACAAGGAAATAAATAAGACGGATTTTGGTACAATGAGATATTATTTAATCTTTCTCTATAGATATGCATTCCCCATTCTTTTGCAACCCATTTTTTTAGATTCTCAACGTGCATTTATCCAAAAAAAACTGTAACTTAAATAAATATTGACCAAAATGAATGGTTGACAAAAATTGATCAAAAAGGATAACTGATCCCTCAGACTATAGTAAATTGAAGAGACAGCATAAACAAATACACGTATCAATATGCTGTGGTGTAAATCAAATTATAACCCTTCTAAAGATACGGAGCATGGATCCTGTGAGCCTTGTTGATCAGAGGAACCACGGGCAAACATCATAAACAAGTAGTCTACATAAAGGGAAACATCAACTGTTACTCCAAAAAATGAAAACCTGAAATACTCCAAACTTCTAAAATTCCTGGAAAAATTTTTAATGTTAACTAAAGAAAACAATTTTAAGTCTCTTAAAAACCACACAGTATTTGGTGTTTGGAATAAATTTTGGAATTGTTGAGAAATTATGTGACGTCCCTGTGAAAAGGCGAGAACTTACTTCTCACGATGATGAGAGCGTCGGGAACGGCAAAGATGCTGCCCCTGTTGTTGATGGCCTCACAGGTGTAGGCTCCGGCATCCTCCGGCACGGCATTGGTCACCGTGAGAGTGCCACGCCCGTCCACACTGGTGACTGTGACGCGAGGTCCCGTCGGGATGTTGCCCCAGTTGAGACGCCACACGATGAGGGGGGTGGGCACGCCCACGGCCTCGCAGATGATGGTGAAGGTGCCGTTGACCTCCACGGAGATCTCGTTGACGGGTGGGGTGATGATGGTGGGCTCGGCTGTGGGTTAGAAACAGAACAAAGGGATAGACAGAACAAAGGGATAGACAGAACAAAGGTGAGTATAAGAATAAATGTAACAGAAAGGCATGCATTAGAAACAAAAGTAATGGAAAGATAGAAGAGAGGTGAGTATTAGAAACAGAGTAATAGATAGACTGAAGAAAGGTGAGTATTGGAAACAGAGTAATAGATAGACTGAAGAAAGGTGAGCAGAAGAAAATAAACATAATGGATAGACTGAAGAAAGGTGAGTATTAGGAACAGGTGTAAAGGATAGAAGGAAGAAAGGTGAGTAGTAGAAACATATGTAACAGATAGACGGAAGAAAGGCATGTATAAGAAACAAATGTAACGGATAGACTGAAAAGAAAGGTGAGAGTTAGAATTCAAGCGACATTTGAACTTATATAATTATTTTAAAAGAACTAAGACCTAACGTTCTAGATGGAAAGCAGGTCGTATATACCGTCATCCATTGAGATGAAAACTCTAGAGTCAAATACCAAACAAATCTTGAGATCTGATTGGTTTATGAAAAGGAAGAACAAGAACTTACTGCAGCCAATTTCATCGGACCTGTCCCTGCAGTCAAGCTCTCCATCGCACTGGTAGGAGAAGGGGATGCACTGGTCGCCGGTGCGGCACTGGAACTCATCAGACTGGCATGGAGCACCAGGAAGACGTTTTGCTGAAGTGGAAGAAAAAAAAAGCGAAGGCAGGAGTTTAGCTTGTGCAAAATGTGTTCAATAACAACAGAAAAGGTAATACACTTTTGTCACTTTCTGATCTATAAAATATATTATGGTATCTGCACCAACACAATATTCTGTACAAATTGTTTAGGATTAATGGATGATATCTTGTCACATCAGATAGTAAAGAAAGCACTCAGTGTATTCTTAACTATCATACAGTGACCCAAAAAAACTCTGATGAAAACCCCCCCCCCAGTCATTTTAAGCTAAGGTGAGTCAATTTTCTCTATAAAACTGAAACCTAATGTAGACTGTCCAAGTCTGGTTGTTTCTCTCCCCTTATACACCAGGAAGGTTTGGCAGTAGGTTGGGGGAGCCGAAATAAAAAAAAAAATTAGGATCAAGTGAATTAGATTGTATTTCGTAAAATTGAATAAATTTTGTAATGATTATGCCAAATCCGTAATGATGGTTATCCCTGAATATACTATCCCCTTTTTGTTACCCTACGGTAAAGTCACAACAAGCTTGGCTACGGAGATAGTAGATACGTCAACTTACGACAATTCAACTCATCAGAGCCGTCAAAGCAATCATCGTCGCCGTCACACCTCCAGATCTTCATGGCACAGCGGCCGTTGTTACATCTGAACTCATTGGGTTCACAAGGCAGGGCAGTGTCTGAAACAGCAAAAGGATAGCATTTCATCATCAGTTTTACTTTGGATGGAAGTATTTCACAAAGCTTTTCATTAATTGCTCCTTTAATTTAAAAGGAAAGTAAATTATTTATAAAATAAATGATGCAGCTGTTCTTACACCCTCAATGACACAATTTAGGATCATTTATGAGATGGACTTCAACCTTGCCTATCCAGGCTGAGAAGGATACAATATCCCAGTAAACGACTAAAATACAAGATAAAAATTCTCAGTTTGGTGTTCATTTTATGCAAATAACTTAAATGGCAGTGAAGTTATAAGGAAGTTTATGATGTTGATAAATTGGATGATAAAATTGGATGCATTTACTAATAGAATAGCCTTCCATAATTATATTACGTTTTAAATATCGTTGACCTTGAGTGCGAGACTTTTAGTAACACATGAGTTAGTGTCAAAAGAGTGTTATTGATTCAATAAAAAGTACACAACTTTCTTCTTCAGTTTATCATTTCAGAATTACTTTTAATAGCATAATCACTAGACAAATATCATAAGGCCATCTTTAGTTCCATCTCCACAAGGTGTCTCAGACCACCTTTTTCTCTATCGCTCTCTCTCTCTTTCTCTCTCTCTCTCTCTCCCCCTCTCTCTCTCTCTCTCCCTCCCCCCCTCTCCCCCCCCCCCAATCCCCCAGATACTTACTGCAAGTCCTCTCATCAGACCCGTCGGTACAGTCGGGCTCACCGTCACACACGCTCTGTCTATCTCTCTCTCACTCCCTCTCTCTCTCTCCCTCCCCCTCCCCCCTCCCCCCCCCCCCCACTCCCAGATACTTACTGCAAGTCTTCTCATCAGACCCATCGGTACAGTCAGGCTCACCATCACACACGTAGTCACGGGGGATACACTGACCGTTGGAGCAGGTGGACTCGTCTCTTCCACACGGGCCGTCGGGCTCAGGGGCTGTTGTAGGTGGCCCGACTGGTAGGTCATAAAAAATGTACGTTATAAAATATGTATGTTTACAGAGCAGTTTTTGGTGGTCCAACTGGTAGGTCATAAAAAATGTACATTTTAAAATATGTATGTTTTACAGAGCAGTTTTTGGTGGTCCAACTGGTAGGTCATAAAAAAAATGAATGTTTTACAGAGCAGTTTCTAGTCGTCCATCTAGCAATGTGTAAAAAAATGTACATTTTACAGAGCCGTTGCTGGTGGTCCATCTAGCAATGTATTTAAAAAATGTAAGTTTCACAGAGTGTAGGTCGTCCAACTGGTAAGTCATTAAAAAAATGGAAGTTTTATCGAGTAGTTGTTGATGGGCCACAGAGTAATGCATAACAAAATAATTGTTTTACGTTATTTATTTACAGACAATAACAACTGAATCCACCTTTTTTAAAACATAGCCTTGAAATCAGTAAAGTCAGTCTGATAAAAAATGATAATACATCCAATTTAAAGTTTTCAGCATGCTATTTTGCTTTTTTTAAACGCCAAATTTTCGTCAATTTTTAATTTAGCAAAAAAAAAGGAAAAAATAAAAGAACGTGATGGTAAAAAACAAAAAAAAGAACAAAAAGAAAAGCAAACAAACACATACTGAAGTCAACAGCAAGACGAGCGTTGGCTTCAGAACTTCCGACAGAGTTGGTCGCGGTACAGGTGTAGTCACCGGCATCCTCAGGCCGCACGTTGGTGATGGTCAAGCGACTGCCGTCGATGTTAGCTTGAAGAGGCATAGCCTGAACAGATGAGGAAACATCATACATCAAGTCAGGATGAAACAAAACAGGACAAGACAATTTAGGATAAAATAAGACATAATAAGACAAATTAGAATAACACAAAACATGATAAGACAATTTAGGATAAAATGAAACATAATAAAACAATTGAGGATAATATGAATCATAATAAGACAATTTAAGATTAATCAAAATTACATGATAGGACAATTGAGGATAAAACAGAACATGATAAGACAATCTAGGATAAAATGAAACATAATAAGATAAGTTAAGGTAGAACAAGTGGATAGACAGACCCTAGAACACTCAGAAATATTCTCGGGTACCCTCAAAGCATACAGTGTAATCTGAGAATTTCAAGCCCTAAAACAGTGACAAACTGACAAGATTTTTCACTGCCTTTATATAAGTGGCAAAAACTGATTAACTCTGACATGTTCAAAAGCCTATACCCTGTTTTGTTGTAGCAAATACAATGAAAATAAGCATAAGTTAGCATTTTCATCATATAAAAGACAAATTCAAGGAAAAGTTGTTCCCGCATCTGATCCGGACATTGGGGATTGTTTTGTCAGTGAGACAACTTCCTGGGCCCGCGGCATATTGTGGTAGGGTGGCCAGTTCCTTTCCACGCCGTCTTTAATTCCCCAACTCGAAGTCAGGTACCCATTAGGCCTACTGCCGGGTGAGCAGGAGGGGTAGAAAAATATCGAGGCTCGAACCTAGACTTTCCGCTTTGGAGACGAGCGTACTAACCGCTCTGCCACCGCACCCTCTCATAATAAATTCTAGGTGCAAAGTGTTATTACCCACCAGCAGGTTCAGAGAAGAATTAAGATTTGATAATGAAGATACGTTTGTAGTACAAGTAAGCAGAGGTTTATGATAAATGAGAAAAACAGGGGAATAAAGGCAGTCTCTAGTCAGAGGACACTAACCCCGCCAGTCCTACGAGACCACTGCACTCTTGGGGCAGGATTTCCAGAAGCCTGGCAGAAGAAGAGAGCATCTCGTCCGATACGCACTCGCATCTGCTGCGGGGTCACGGTCAGGGTCACAGGGGTCGCTGTTGTGAAAAGATAAACAATCATGTAAAAGTAGAAATTACGAAATCAAAACAAAACAAAATAATTTTTTTTTAACAACATGCCCTTTCAACTATTTTGTACCATAGAAGAAAAGACTAGAACAGAGTTTTATAATGCAATCTAGCATACGAATATGAACACAAACAGTAAAACACATTCATAGCAAACTAACACACACGTAGCGAGAAATACCCAGAACCAAACAGATTTATGTGTCCTGAAGTTGTTTTCACATGTATGACATTCTTCATATTTAAAATGCACACATAGGGAAGGTCAAGCAAAACAAAAAGATTTCCCCATCCAGCTGATTTCACTATGTTGTGTGTGTGCTAGACTGTATGTAACGTATCAAAGGTGGTCAAGTTGACAGGGGTTAACTCTAAACAATACAAAAACATTGAACAAGGACAGTACTAGATTAAGTGGTAGCTGTGATGAGAACTTCTAACTTGAATGGATTTTATGTTTTGCATCAACAAGTAAGTAGCCTTCTTGTATTCTTTTTTCTAAATGGTTTTGCAATTTTAAAGCAGCGCGAAATTTTGCTGATACATCACAAATGCTAAAAGATCTAACACACTCATACAAACTAAATTGGATAAAAGGGGTTAAAACACACGTTTTTTTTCTCCTTTCTCATGTCAACACAACCACATTACTCTCCACATTCCTGCCGAGGCACATTAGGGCAAAACATAACTGAACTCATTTTTTGTGTCATAAATATTAGAATGCATCATAGTCTCTGCCAATTAAAAAAAATTTTATTTATATATTTTAAAAAAATTATCGTGCTTAAATTAACTCTTCAAGTAATGACGTTCTACGTCATGTGCCAGAAAGTTACGGTAAAACTTACGGCAGTCTCTCTCGTCGGATCCATCAGAGCAGTCAAATCGTCCATTACAACGGCCGGAGCGACGGATGCACTCGTCGTTGGCACATCTGTACTCCTGGGCACTGCACTCTTTAGCTGGAAAAAACACACGGACGACAAACTTAATGCTGGAAGGAAAAACCTCAAATAAAATATGTGTCACGACGAGGTGGAATCAAGCGCTCGTCAATTTTTGGGCTCGTAGAGTTATTGGTATCATCGTAAAGTCTGTTCATTTGCTTTGCTTTAAATGAATAAAATATCCTTCTATCTTAAATAGAAGTCGACATATTTGCGAAAGAAGGAGGTGGGGGTCATCCGGTTCAGAGATAAAAATTGGCCAGGTAAAAATTAGCGAGAAAATGGCTGCCAAAGTATGGTGACTTCCATCACTTGAGAGACCTTGAAAACTGAAATTTTACCGTTTTTGTCCCTTTAATCAACGTTTTTAAGGAAAACAAACAAACAAAAAAAGAAATGTGTTTTTAAATGGACATAAAAGATGTTGAGCTAAAATTGAAAAATTCGATAAAAATTGTAAAAAACCAGCAGAAAGATGCTGGTTTCTTCGATGTCAGTATTTTGACGAGCGCCTGATTTCACCACGTCACCTCACATCTGCTGTGGCACCAGCTCTAACGGCCACCTGTATTACACAAATCACCTGTATAAACAGCCACTTCCTATTTCCTCCCTTGCCTATTTTTTTTTTACATCAGCAGTTTTTTCAGTCCACTTAAAAGCACATTTCTGTGTGCACTTTACTGAAAAATATTGATCAAATGCACAAAACATGTAATTTCTGCAGTTTCCAATTCAATTTTTGAGAGGCAGCAAACTTTTGTAATAATTTTTCTTGCTCATTTTACTCTTGACACCAGCTTCGACATCGGATCCCTATACCTCCTTCAATAAAAAATTTCTAGAGTTCTATTAAAAGCACGGCAATTAAACAGGCTATCTTATACAAAAAACTCCCAATGCCCAAAAATTGCTGAGCGCCTGATTCCACTGTGTCGTAAGACGTGTGTAAGAAGGGGTCCCAGATGAGCGGTAAGGCATCCTACTAGCGTTGACAAAGTTGTGAGTTCCATTCCCGGCTCTGTCAAGTTGTACTTTGTGTCTTTCTAAAAGGCATTTTTATCTATTTATAATTCTCCTCAATTCTCCCTGCTGTACATAGAAACTTGTAAACAGGCAGCTGCAAAATATGCAAAAGGTAGCAGTTTGCTCCTAACAGATTGCAAGTCTGTACGTCCCACAGAGGACAGAAGAAATTCTAACTTGGACTAAACAGGTCACGATAACAGGAGATATTGATAAGTCATGTTAACCTCCAGGTGAATACATGTCTACAAATATGAGCACTTTTTAAACCTTCACGCCTCAAAGTCATCAGTGTGTACAATATACCATCTTGAGGCTTCTCTCTCAAAAGAGAACTGGTGGAAAATCGCCCGAGCTGAGATCATATCTCCACAAAATTGCTCCAGAGGACTATCCAGATCTGTCCTGTCGAGCCTGCAAGGAGGAAGACGAAACTATGGACCATGTGTTCCTGAGATGTCCCCGCCAACTATCGTGCCAGAACACGTCTGCTGGGACATTTCAGTGACCCACTTTCAGCACTTTTTAAGGACCCCCGAGCAAGTGTTGAGTTCCTGCGTGCTGTCGGCATCGCTGACCGCTTATGACGCCACAGCGCCAGAAGAGAGAGAGAGAGAGAGAGAGAGAGAGAGAGAGAGAGAGAGAGAGAGAGAGAGAGAGGGAGAGAGAGAGAGAGTGGGAGAGCCAGTCAGTGAGTCAGTGAGTCAGTGAGTGAGTCAGTGAGTCAGTGAGTCAAGTCAGTGAGTCAGTCATTCAGTCAGCCAGTCAGTGAGAGACTTACCACAGTCCTCCTCATCACTTCCGTCCCGACAGTCGGGGTTTCCGTTACATCTGTAGCCAGGGGGCAGGCAGCGGCCATCGCTCACACAAGTGAACTCTCCCTCTCTGCATGCTGGAGGCGGGGAAAAAAAGAAACGGAACTGATTTTATTTCGTTACTCCTTCCTTGTGATTTACAAAAAAAAATTTTTGGGGGGTGGGGGGGGCTAAACTTTACTTTTACTCAAATACAAAAACAAACAAATAAATTAAACAACCAAAATCAACACATACTACATTGTTCAAAGTGTGTGTGGGGGGGGGGGGGGGGGGGTAAGCTTTACTCCCCCCCCCCCCGGAAAAAAACGTTACCAAACGACAACATTTTTTAAAAAGGCAACAACTAAAATGTAGTTCAAAAGTGGGGAGGGGGGCTATACTTTATTTACTCCCCATTAAAAAAAAAGAAAAACATAAACAATAAAAACCAAAAGACAAACAAACAATAACAAAACAGACTAACAAATAATACAACAAAAAACAAAGAAAAAAAAACTATCAAACAAGCAAACAAGCAATAAATTGACAAACAAAGAAACAAACAAACAAACCCACCAAAGCAACAACAAGCAAACACTTACGACAATCGCGCTCATCACTTCTGTCCTGGCAGTCAGCCCTCCTGTCACAGCGACGGGACTGGGCGATACATGCGCCATTAGACACGCACGTGAACTCCTGGGGTGAGCAGGTGGCTGCAGGGGACAAACACGCAAATACGCACTGTTAGACCAGCTCAGTTTGCAGCACATTATACAACACAGATACACCTGTGTGGTATTTCCGGACGGGTGGATCGGCAAAAGACGGGGGGAGATGGAGAGGTGAACGAACTCAAATTTCTAAAAGAGAAGGACCAACTGACAGACAGGCAAAGAGACAGACAAAGTGCCTAAAGACAGAGAGAGATTTAGAGAGAAGTGGTGAGGGGGGTTGAGAGAAAAAGGAGAGTGGGGTAAAAAGAAGAAAAGGAAAGCTGAGGGAAAGACAACAAGAAAGACAAACAAGCACAGAGGGAGAAGACAGGGACACAAGAACAGACAGTAAACGGATGAATATTTTCCCACCCCAAGAGTAAAAGGATGAACATCACATTTCCCCACTCAAACTACACAGAAAAGAAACACTTCGCCAACCGAATTCTAATTCTGAAGGTAGAGCTTACATCTAATCAAACGTTACCTCTGCAACTTTCCAGAAACAAACAGAGAAAAATGAAGAGCTGTACTCCTACACCCATGATGATAATGACGAGAATGCCAGCGGAATCACTGCAGGCAAACTGCTGACTTGTCCCGTCCTGTACCTTCCCGTCCTACGCAATCACCCTCACTCCCTGTCTCCCCTCTCTATCCCCCACCCCCC